ACTATCCACCTACCCATAATCCATTTAATATACTGATTTTGTCTTGCTTCTTCTAGTCTCTTTATTCGGGCAGGAACATTCAGTCGATTTTTTTCCTTCCTACCCCAGCCATCATTCTATAAGCCCCGACGAGTATATGCCTGAAATCTCAGCACTTCCTCACACCGACTCTTTCGGTTATAACTGCACAAGATCTTGAAAATAAGTAAGCCAGTAAGAAGAAAGGTACCTTCAACTGCTTTTCACTGGTAACACATTCTTTGAAGTCGCGGTGCTCCAGATCGCAATACTTGCGGCCGAGTTTTGCGCCGTAGGCCTCCATACAACGGAAAAATTGGGCTTCGAAAAAGCCACATGGACGGCCTAGAAACATCTGACCAGATGAAAACTTCGCGAAAATTTTAGAAGTCACAAAACAAGGGTGAGATGAGTTTATTCGTGAGGAACCGGGAAGAATCAGCGCTCGGAGCGAACACGTCAGGAATCTATCAGTGCCCGCAAAGCTGATTCTCTCAGAGCGTTAGCTCGATACCTACACTTTCATTTTCGCGCACTCGCTCGCATCGTCAATTTTCCCGAGTCGCAAGGTATGAACGCAGATTCACAGAACGAAGAAGAATGCCGTTATCGATCGTTCCTCAGGAGACATGTGAGCGTGACAGATTACCCGTTTTAGCTCTTCTTTGACACGAAAATTTTCCTGGGAGACCGCAAGAAATACGAGTTGTAAAACTACCTATAGTTAAGCCCTCGCAAAATGTGGTGCTGGGTGTTGAATCACTTCTTCAATCTATTGCAAGAAGCGATTTCTGTGTCAGAGGAGACGACTAACTAGTAACGCTGCGTTCATACTTTCGGCGAAAATATAGGTATCGATCTAATGTTTTGAGAGTTTCGCGGCAAGTCGCTGAAAACGCTGGGGTACTCCCAAAGGGGGAGATGTAAAGTATGAACGCCTTCTGCAGGTATTCTCTAGGTATGCTCTCGAGCAACGATATACACGACATTTTTTCAGTTTTCACATAAAAACCAAGGATAGACCGAACAGAAGCTCGCAGCCTTAGTTGGAGCCCTTGAATATGCTCACCTTGTTGCGACAGTGGAATCGCAAATATATCACTGATAGGAGTCTTCAGTATCGGTGTCAATGTTTCATACTTCTCCGGAATCACATTACCGGTCGCCATGACCGGTTCAAAACCTGTACAGTAACAGCGATAAGCAAAAATGATAAAGGCAAGTGGAGATGAACACGCAGAAACATGAAGCGCATGAAAAATGCAGCAAAAAAATCAGACAGAACTCTGAACATACTGGGGAGGAGTGTAGATCGCACTTTGGCTGGAGGATTGGTGGGGGCACTTTTGTACTTCCGCTTCATGCTGGTCGTTTTTTATTTTACAAGTGTTGACAAGGAGTATTTACAACGTTTGGTTGGCATAACTTCATGACTTCACAAGTTTCACAGGTCTCCTTTCTGATGGCTCGACACGTTGGCGGACAGAAGCGAAAAAGCAAGATGCCCCCCCCCCCAACAGCCAAACTGAGCGCGCCGAGTGGAATTCTAACTGCAAGCAGCGAATGACTCATTTCACACGAATAATTCAGCTCATGAGGATCGAGCTAGTGTGAAAAAGCGAAACGCATTTTCCCTTTGGCTTTCGATACACCACATACTGGGAAAGTATTGATTCCTCGAACTAACGCAAAAATTCCCGCTAGCTTGAAGCGACTGACATTGACTCGGCTTGCATCGGAGCAAATCATGATGACCGAAAAACCAGAGTTGAACAGAATAGTTGCACTGCTCTTCGATTAAATGGTACAAACAAAGCGCCCAAAATACCAGGGCTTGAAGATTGACATTCAACCGTGAGAAAAAAAGCTGAATGGGAGTTCTCCATGCAGACGTCTAATTCTCGCCTGTTAACAGGGCCTAAAATCTTGCGGCGGATTCCCTTCTGAACAGTGTCTACAAAGTCACCATTTTATTCCATAATGAAACTTAAAAGAGAAAAAAACCTGTATAACCTACCAGACGACAGAAAGCACACCAAAGCTAATGACACAGTAGGAAGAGACGTCAGTTAAGTGACGCTGTTCGCAGTCTACCAAAGTACGTACGCCACATTGCAAATGACGCCACTTTGCCATTCAACTTATTCTCAACCTTCTCGCAATGCTTTTTTCATTTGCTTTCTATTGGGAGACTTATAAACTTCTAAAATCCCATCAACCGTTTGTTGTGGTGCCATGTAGCGAGTCATTTTGCCGGAGCATCTGAAACATACCTCTTTCAATGTAAACAACAGGAGCTTTTTGCCT